TCAAGGTGGTATACATGGGCCTTTCCTGTTCCTTGATTTGGTCTTAGCAACAAAAACCCTACAGAGTAGGTTATGCTGGAAAAAAATGATTTACTCAAAGCCACCTAGTGAGCTTCACAGCTTGAGTAAAGATTTGGACCTGGGAATCTCATTCTTTCAGTCCAAAACTCTAAACTTTAAGCCAACAAGATGTTCTCATGATGATGATGATGATGGTGATGATGATGATGATGATTGATTTTATTTATATTCTGTCCTTTCCCCAAAACTGAGATTCAGATGTGCGGAGCTACAACTCCCACTAATTCTAGCCAATGCTAAGTAAGGTCATGTTGACTGAAAATGATGGGACTTATTATCCAGCACATCTGGAGGGAATTGCTACCAAGCTGGAGAAGGCTACTTCAACCAGGACACAACAATGACCCTGTCTTGTGATAACCACCCCAGAGCCTATAAAGGAATTGATGGACAGAAATGGCACAGGAAGAATATGCATGGATCCATGAAATAACAACAGGATAGGCTGGAGGGAACAGAATGGAGAAAGAAATGAATGAATTAAACACATGAAACATGAAATATAATTTACAGAAACATACATGCATGCACACCCAAACATGTCTGAAATATGTGCTGTTGGTTTGCCTCCTTGAATATGGAATCTTTGGGTGATATAATATTACAATCCCTCCTTTTCTGTTTTTTTCTCAGACAGTGAGGGGCCAAAAACCTCTTTTTTACTTGAAGTGATGAACACATTCAGGAGAAGCCAACAGCTGGGATCCTACAAATAACCTCAAAGAATGCCAGTGAGTTGCCAGGAGAGGCAGCTGTGAGACTTTCAGAGAGACACACAATCACTTCACTGGCATCACAGTACAGGAGCCACACAAACCCATAGACAGGCTGAGGCCACTCCAGTTTCCTTGCTCACAGTTAACAAGTGCATGTAAAGAACTGGCTTCATGCAGAGTGAACATTAGGGTCAACTCCATGTTCAGTCTGTTGATCTATATCTGTTGATGGATCTTTGTTTCAGTGAAAGGTGGAAGCATTAACTTTCTCAGGAGAAATGGAATAGGATATATAAAAAGTTATTTCAGAGCAGGGGTTAACAAATTCTTTTGGTCAGGGGTCTGCACTGAACACTCCCCTGGCTTGCACCTTTCCCAGTGTTGTTGAAACCAATGCTAACATTCAGTACCAACTATTAAGTTCCCTCATAGAGTTGCCAGAGTGAAAATTGGAGAAAGCTCCTGTCCCTTTAATAATTGTAGGACTATCAGGAGGGGTTGCTTGTCATGCAGACCAGGAACCATGCAACACCAGCTAACATTCCTGCTTTTACACAACCTTTAAAGGGATAGGATCTATCTTCAGTTTACACTCTGCCAATCCTAACTGTAGTTGCTGCCAAAAATTGGTGGCAACTGCATTGGCTCTCCATGGTGCAAAAGGTGTGAGAGTGCTGTGATAGGCTCTGGCCCCATCTCCTGCTCTTGGGTAAGAGAGGGACTCCCAAATTATATCCACTGCCAACACTACTAATTCATTCCACATGATTCAGTAACTTAGGGGGGAAGCTGACTGGCGGACCGGAGCCGCCCTGGGAAGGTGCGCCGCAGGACCGAGGCATCCCCACACCTCGATCCTGTGGCGCTCCTTCCCCGCCCCTGAAAGGAGCACTAAAATAGCGCTCCTTTCACAAGTCAGTGAAAGTGTGCCGCAAGCTTTCACTGACTTATCCACCGCAGCGTATCCAGACGCTGCGGTGGGAGGTTGCCCTCGGAGCGCCGGCCGTGCGGAGGGCCGGCGGCTCCGAGGGCAACCTCGGGAGGAGGAAGGGGCGCCGAGCGTGTGGCTGCCCCTCCTCTTCCTTGCCTCGAGGACGGCTCTATTAGCCGTCTGCCAAGGCCCTTAGTGGGACTTATTCAAGGATTTAACTTGCACTTTTTACACCTCAGATTTTGAGATTTTCCCTTCTCCTCTTGTGGGAAATGAGAGTCCTATATGCATATGTGTGCACACATGAAGCAAAAGCACCTGAAGAGAGTTTGGAATAGAGGAGAACTTTTAAGGAAAGCTTAAATTCTAAGCAAACAACCTTACATTAGCAAAAGAGTATCTTGTACATAAAGGCACCTTTCTTCAGGCAGTTCTTAGGAGTAGTTACAAAGCTACCAAGACAAGTCACATTCAACCGAGGTTAGAAGAAATAGAAGCCTTAATGTGACTAACTGAACATTCCTAAACTACTCACAGATCCAGATGGTGTTCTGGGTCTTTAGATGTTCATGGGAAGCTAGGAGTCCAGATCTCTTTCTCCAGATTTCCTAGGAAAGGTGAGAAAGGCTGCATCTTCCCTCCCTCTTCATTAGCCTCAAAAGCCTTTTCAATGACTGAAGATCTCTCCTTCATTCTCCCTTGTGCCTCATGGCACTATGTTTTATAATCTCCCATCTTGAAACTTTCGTGTATCTCCCTAGAGCGGTCATCCTCATTGAGCAATTGTTTTTCCTGATCTGTGTTGCTCCTATGTGATGGTGACCCCCAATAAATGTAACCTAAAATCATTATATCATTAACCTTTTTTTACCTGGAAGAGAGACATATCCTTCAGCTGTATTGCCCAGATAATGGGAAAGCCAATTATCATAAGTGCCCTCCCTCATCAAATAAGCCTGCCAGTTTGCAAGGCAAAACATCTTCCCTTCCAGAAGAGAAAAGAAGGCCTAAAAATCCTGGAGTACCATTGTTGTTTGTTGGCAGTGAAGGTTCAGTAGTGATAGCAAATGGGGTCTGGGGCAGGGTTAAGAATGGGGCTAAACAAACGGGCAGGAAAAAGCAACTTGAAGTTGCCTTTTCCAAAGCTGCATTGAAACCCCATCAACTTCACCGCCCACTCCCAAGGCAGCTGAAGTGCGCACACCATGACCACACAGTGCAGTTTCAAGCTGTGCTGCTGGGTACTTTTTTGTTTACTGTTCCCCCCACCATCCCTGTGCACCTTCATAGCAGCGAACCACCAGTGATTGCCATCCCATTGCATGGCCATCCCTGTGAACCTGCACACGTTCACATGTGTAGAGCTTCACTGGGACAGGGCAATGGAGCAGGAGTGTACCCATGCAGATGCCGGCAGAGTATAATCATGCCCCCCTCCACCCCATGCCACCTCTGCTTTGTTTATGTTGTACTCATCTTCATGAGAGGTGTCATAGTTTCTCTTTGGGGCATTGCCACCCTCACCGCTTGGGTATGGCAGCTCTGTCCTTTTAAAATGTGCTCCTGCAACAGTGCATTTACATGCACAATTAGGGTTAGGGTTTGGAAAGAGTGCCCCTTTAGAGCGGCCCTGGCATTGGTGCATTTAAATGTACATGTGAAGGTGTGCACTTTCTGGGAAGAAGTGGAAACATCCAGCTCCTTTTTAGTCTGGCTTTTCTCCCTGTAGCGCAGCTTATGTGTGCTTTCCGGCCGGCTTCAAGGCGTGCATTGTCTAAATGCCCCGCCTTGAAGCTGGCTAGAAACCTACTTATTTTGACTATCTGTTTCACCCCAATGCTTGGCAGATGAGATCACAGGTGAGCTGTGGGATTGCATGTGCCACACTCTTATTTTAAAGCAATGTTTAGCAGTTTACAAGATATTTTGTGCTGAAGCCCAAAATAAATGGGTGTCCATGCCAATCACAATTTCTGACTCTTAATATTACTTGAGATCTACTATTTAAGGCGATCACCTCATTGTGACTCATGGTCAGGCCAGTGGTAAATTGGATTCATTACAATGACTATTGTTTATATAATTTAGGCAGGCTACTGCACTGTATAATGTTATGGCTTGTTGGTGAAATGCTGTGGGTTAAATTAAGCTGGTCCAAGCTGAATTCAAAATATAAGATTGCTCAAAAAAGCTGACTAGTGAGAAGCTCTATTAGAGGCAGCAGGCAAGGTGAACCAATGAAAAGATGCATAAAAGAAGGACAAACACCTGTCTGTGTTGGGAATTTTGTCCACCTAGTTGTGGTTAAATTGTGGTAAAATGTTCTGAACTTTGCTATTTGGAGATTTTGCAAAAGGTACTTGTGGTTTGACTATGATGTCAACTTTGATCGGAAGAAGGCTGGCTTCTTTCTTGGCAGAAAGACCTCGTGAAGATATTATTATGTTTAAGGTGGTAGACTATATGAGTACTCCCATATTTTATTCTCATTTTTCTCTTGTCAAAAGAACTTATATTTATATAACTTGTCTTACATAATTTTGTTGTCTCTTAACCAGAACAAGATCAAGAGGTGATGAACTTATACCAAGCGGGTAGAGCCTGGAAGATGTGCTCACTCAAAATTTGCATGTTAATTGAGTCTTCTTTCATTGGAATTTGTAAGAACTAGTATAATCAATTAAGGAGGACAGTTAGGCCTAATGAGATAGCTTTACACTCAAAGGCTGTCCAACAGGACCCCTAGTGGGAACATGTATCTATCTCGTGTAAGTGGTGCATTTTTGCACTACGTTGAAACAATATAGAATTTTGGTCTGAGTTTATAAAACCTCACTGTTTCCCAATCCTTTCTGGAATTGGTTGTGGGGCAACAGACTAATGGCCCTTTTCCAAGTTTTCTCTCACCAGATTTTTTTTTTTTAAATGCTCATGAGTGGTGAGCTAATAAGGGCATTGGTGAACTGCTGGGTTTTTGTCTGATGAGAGTGGGCAATGCCTATGTTTTCAGGTTGCTATGTATGAGGGTTAAGTTGGCAAGAATCTGACCTCCTCTTCAGATGAATTATCTGCTCTGAACAGAAGAAAGCTAGATCAAGGTTGGATTACACATTTGTCATGCCATTGTTTTTCCAGGTTTGTTTTTCTTTTAGAAATAGCAGCCATGAAGGGACCTAATCCACACTGCGATCTCAGCATATGGAGAGGAGAAGTTTAACCCTCTCACCCCCCGTGCCATTTTTCTGAAAATACATCAAAGGCACAATAGGAGAGCTAGGGTAGTATAGTAGTTTGAGCCTTAGACTACGTCTCTGGAGACCAGGGTTCAATTCCCCACTCAAGCATAAAAAATCACTGGGTGATCTTGGACAAGTAACACTCTCTCAACCTCGGAGGATGGCAATGACAAACCCTCTTTGAAGAAACTTGCCTAGAAAACACTATGATAGGTTCACCTTAGGGTCACCATAGTCAGTGTTATAGAGAGAACAAGGCACATGATGCAAGGGCCCAACAATGGGAAGCAAAA